TATATATATATATATAGATATATATATATATATATATATATATATATTCCTGAATGTACTAATATTCAAACGAAATCACATTCAATATCTATTTTATGTGTAATATAACAACCAAATAACCAAGAAACTTTTATTAACTTAAACTAGGGCTACAAACAAACCGAACATTCAACAAACTATTCATTAACCGTTCGGTGGGATGTTTGTTTATTTAATAAATGAACGAACATAAACACAAATTATCGTTCGTTTAGTTAAATGGACGAGCAAGAACAATTGTCGTCTTCTTCCAATTAATGTCATAAACATGTTTATGTTGTTCATTTACGTTCGTTTATGTTCGTTCATTTAAGTTCCTTTTATTTTCATATATGTTTAATTGTGTTTGATTACATTATTATATTATATATTTGTTATGTTCATATGTGTTTAATTATGTTTGTTTATCTCCGTTTGTTCATTTATGTTCGTTTAGCTGTTCATGGACATAAACGAACGAACATGAACAATGCAAATTGTTAAACGAACGAATCTGAACAAGAAAACTTGTTTGTTTATTCATTCGTGTTTGTTTTTTTGCTTGGTTAACTTAAATGAACGAACATAAACAACCGTCGTTTGTGTTCGTTTAGTTCATCTACAACCCTAACTTAAACCAAGAAATAGAAACGTAACTACATCTAAATGTTTATTACAACAAGGTAAGAAACTTTATATATGACTCAATGTCTACACTAATTTTGTATTTTTCTCACCATAGATATATGATGTCACGGTGCTTTATTTAATTTGACTTGATAATGTTTGACAGTCAATTGTAAAGCTTTCATTTATTAGAGAGTCCGATTTTCTTACATTTGCATCTTGAGTCAAACTTTCTTGTACCATTTGGGGAATTAAACTCGATCATTAATAGGTTGAATTCTGAGTAGAGAAAAGGCCAATAAAATTGCAAAGGCGTTGACTATGTTTATGAGTGTAGAAACTCCAATATTGCAGAGACTAGTCATCCATGATCCAACATAAAAGAGAAAACTAACAGAGAAAGAGAGTAAATCTTGAGGTACAGGGTCCATGGAATGAAATCAAAGTAAGAAGGGAAAAACGAGCTTCACCAACCAAGAAGTGGTCACTAGAAGAGTAATCGTCGACGGGAGCACACAACCAAATATGTAATCATGGAAGAGACAAAATACGATCTTTTCATACCTGTATTCGGGAAACGAGAGTCAACCGTTTTCTTGAGAGCTTATAATAGTGAATTATGTGTTGTACTTTTGAGAGCCAATATAGGAATCAATATGAGTGAAAGGAGGAAATTGCAGGATAATAGAGCACAACGTTGTAAGAGCAAGAGAAAGATCTAGGTAGAGTGTATTGAACCAGGCGAGAGATGAAATATTGTTGCATACAAGCAGACTTAAGAAAACATGATTTCATTTGAAGAAGACAGACAAAAATAACAAAAGGGATGCACATTTTTTTTAAATGTTGACATTGAAATCTCAATACAACATACATTTTTTTATGTCGTGAAATGTTACAAAAGATAACTTAATATTACAACATAAAACTACGTCTTTCGTAAATCCTTAAGATTTCGTAAAAACTGACATTATTTTTATGACATACAGTTTTGTCTTTCATAATACCAATGTCTGTCATAAATCCTTAACATAATGAGGCTTGTGTTAATATTCCATATAAGCATTTTGAATCGTTTAGCATGAAATACCAATGTAATTTTTATCTTTTTGTTTAATATATCATTCTATTTTCATTTATTTAAACTATCGTATTATACTTTCATTTTTTCACCTATTAAGATTGCGTTTAAAAACTCTTACCCAATACTCAAAATTATTTTCTCACTAGGACATTTCATTTACAGAAGTGACAATTGCTTTGCGTTTAAATGACATTCTTATAAATGGATATATTTTTTAAGTACAATGTTGTAATAGGAAGAAATTAATATAAGATGCTATAAGTGACAAATTAATTCAAGTACATGGTTATTGCTTGCATTTAACCCTACTTTTGTTTTTGTTTTTGTTTTTTTTTTTTTTTTTTTAATGGTTCTTGACATTGCAAAATGAAGAATGTGATTATGGACCTACAGTTTTTAAACTATTTAACTCTTGGTTGGGCTTTGGAAGACTTTGAAGTTACTGTGCGACATGTTATTATTTTGTTCCAACTTCCAAGGAAGGGCGTGGGAATCCAAGTTTGTGTACTTTAAAAATAAGTTGAAATTTATAAATTGTAGAATAAAGAAATGGAAAACCTCTATGAAGGAGGAAAAGACTGGGAAAAGGAATGATTTGGTGCAAAGGTTGGGGTTATTTATAACAAAATTGATCACGGGATCGACAAAAAAATGGGACGTGGAAGGGGATGGAAATTCAAAGTTTTTTCATGATTTTCTCATGGAGAGAAGGAGACAGATGATGATTATACGTGGTGGATTGGCTCGGGTGCTACTACAAGTCATCTGTGTAAAGATAATCGATGGTTCAAGTATTTGACACCAACTGATGATAGATCCATGGTTAATATGGGTGATGATCAAGTCAAATCAAATTGTGGTTTTGAAGTTTTTAGTCTTAAGTTTACTTCCGCAAAAACTATTAAGTTGTTTGATGTTTTGTTTGTTCCTAAGCTTCATAAGAATCTTGTTAGTGGTGGTTGTTTAAATTCGGATGGATTTAAACAGGGTTATGAATAGGATAGGTATATCGTATAAAGATTTGTCAAATTTATTGATTTAATATATTATTGCAATCGTGTGTTTCGTTTAAATGTGGTTAGACACTTTATCTTCACGTTTTACATCTCCTAAAGCTGATGAGTCTATGTTTTTGCTCGCTTGGGTCATGTCAGTTTTAAAAGAATGAAATGTCAAAAGATTGATTGCTGAAAAATGTACAACTTGCATGTTAACGAACTTGCAAACCAACTCTTTCCAAATGTTAATCAAAATTCTGGAATTTTAGATTTAATTCGTAATGATCTTTGTGAATTTCATTCCGCTACTTCTCTTGGTAAAAGAAAAGTATGTGATTACTTTTATCGATGATTTGTATGTGTATTTTTTGCATTCTAAGGATGGAGTCTTGGAAAAGTTTAAAATATGCAAAACCGATGTGGAATTGCAATTGGGCAATCCGGTTATCAGGAAGGAAAATATATGGATCCACATTATTTCCAATAAGTTGGAGTCATCCACGAGACCACATTGAATGAGGAGAATGAAAGTATATTAGTGTTTTAAAAGATAAAAATCACTAAAAACATCCTTAAAACATTCCAAATGACATGAATTTCGATTTGGGTTTTTCTCCCCAAACTGTAGCTTGAAATTTGTAATGTAGATGAAGAAGATGGTACTTTTATTAAACTTTTAACCAATTCCTAGCATATATATCTTAAGCTTTTAACCAAGTAGTAGCACCAATACTTTAAATCTCTTATAAGATTACAAAGTCGCCATATATTTCTCTCTTCCCTCTCCTTCCTCGCTTTTGAATCCAATGCGGAAAAAGAAAATGGTGACTCGCTAATTAACCACTTTGGCAATTGTCATAATACCACTACACTTCTTATTTTCGTACCTTGGCCACCTGTAGACATATTGTTTACTCTCTCTCTATCTCTCTATATATATATATATATATATATATATTTACTATATTATTAAACATATTGTCTGTTTCTTGAAAATTAAGAGGTACAATAATATTCATGTACAATAATAATAATATTAAGCTTATATTCACATAGTATACCTATACACGGTATTACCTTATTTCTTCGATGTTACCTTAATCTTCTCTACACACACCACCCGCCAACAGAAGGAAATCGAACCCCTCTTCTTTGTGTCTCCTTCCTAATAGCTTCAGAATCGATCGATACTCACCAAAAAATCGTAGTGTCTCCTTTTCTCAATCGATCGCTATCCTTTTCCCTTTTCTTCTCAAAATCTATTGTAAGTTCTAAGTTCCGATCGACAGAAGTCAAGAAATGCTCCGATCGATCACCAAAACCTTCAGTGTTTGATTCCGATTGCACGCTTCTTCTCTCTCCCTCTCTCGAAATCGATTGCAGATGTATGTTTCTCCGTCACCGTTGTCCGCTACTTCTACCTGACAGCAACCAGTTAATATGACGATGTTGACCATTTTTTTGATCTCACTACAGGACGATTTTGAAGTCAATTAGACCACGGGTGATAGTCAGTACTCTTTCTCTCTAACAACTTTCAAGTATAATCTACATACTCCATTTGTCTATTGTTAGTGTTTGAGCGCTTTTATTTATGTAGATTAGCTATTAAAGGTTTTTGTATGAAAGATGTTGTTCAGTGCTTGTGTTGATGGGGTGTTTTCGTTCAGAGTATTTTGCTATTCTAATTCAAAGGGAAAATTGATTATTTCTGGAATATGTTGTTAGTTTTCTTATGCCTTGAGACTGTTCACAACTTTGTTGTGGTCTGTTAGTTTGGGCAATTGTGATAAGGTGTAGCCGTATTAAACAGTTTAGCTTCCCAGAGAAAATATGCTTATACCTAGATTGCTTCTGCACATACCGGGGACAATTGGGTTTATTATTTTAATTTAAGCCAAATATATAGTTTTGCAATTGCCACTTAATAAAGCATTCTAACCTTTACATAGTAGCATTATCAAATACTCATTTTGGAAGGAATATTCCCATAATTTGAAGCCTGTAGTGTAGTGTCATATTGCTCATACACCAAGAAGTTTTATCTCAATATTTCACCTAACTGAGTTATTAAGCCACTGAATGCTTGTTTTGAACATTTAACTTTAATCCCAATGGCATGCTTAATTCCGTTTATACAAAAAAACTCATATGCTAAATGCATTGATTTTTAATGAAATTGGATTTGCTTGAACTTGGCTTCCCTTGACAGTTCTTAATCTCTTGACTTTCCAACTGAATTTCATGCTTATTTGTATAAATGATTTGACCTCATGTACCAATCGTCAGACTTAATAGTGTTGCAATCATGGCGGGGGCTGTGGTGCAATCTACCATCTTACTACCTTTTGAATCTATGCATTGATTTCTGGAAGAACACGGTAATAATAAATTAATAATATCTTATTCATATTATCTTAGATTATAATTTCTTGTACCTTTTAATATACAAACTTGATGTTTTCAGGGTGTAACTTCAACGAATTCAAGTACTATTTGGGAAAGAATCTCTAAACATAAGCTACCAGTTGTGGAACCTAGACAATCTTCACTTTTTCCTCAAGCAATTGATGTAAGAGTAAATTATTTATTAGCTTTCAGTTAAAAAAAATTATTTTCTTTAATTCATTTTAAAATTTGAACAACACTACATGGCTAAGCTAAGAGACAACTCAACTACTGGTGCAGTGTTTTTTGCTGTATGTCGTGGAAAGGTAATTTATAATTTTATATAGTATTTGACTATTTTCTCCTTATGACATTTATTAAAAAGTTTAAATTTTTATATAAATAGGTAAGTGAAGGATTAGATTTTGCTGATCAAGCTGGAAGAGTTGTGATTGTGACTGGAATTCCATTTGCAATGAGGAATGATCCAAAAATCCGTTTAAAACGTGAGTTTTTAGACCAACAGGCACTCTCCCAAAAAGGATCCAAGGTAATTAATTTTGGTCAACAAAGTCAAACTCACTTAAATTTATATTTTTTTAGTTTTAGCTTTCTACTGCAATTTAGTAACTTCAGTTGATGGATCTCATTTAGCTCAGCTACATAGTTAAATCCGTATAAACTACATCAGTTTTACGGCTTAGATTACTAGCATTTTAAGTTTCTTCTGGATTTGAATGCGACATGACTTAGTTAACCTATCTAAAACCTCAGCCAGTTGGAAAACAAGACTCATGTAATTTTAATCCTCCACGCAAGCTACCAACAAATGAACAACTATCAATTAGACTTATTAGGGATGTAATCTTTGTTATATTACAAATTTACAGTCTGTTTTTCTCTTCAGATACATTCTCAAAGCCAGTATCTGGTTCATCAGAACCACAACAAAGCAGTGGTTGGTTCACGACATTCACAGTTGCTGCTTACCAGCCATACTTTGATGTTGACACATCCGATGTTTTAGAAAGAATCAAAGATTCCCTCTTGCCCTTTGGAGGAAGATTCAATGAAAAAACGGCTAGCAACCCAGACTTGTAAGCTTTTAATCTATCCATTTCCTACTAATCTTCAAACCTTTACCCCTTAAATTACAGCCTTGATCTTGAATTGCTTTTATTATTCTCAGGTATGGACCTTTTTGGATATGCACTACCTTAATCTTTGTTGCAGCTTCTATTGGGACATTTGTGACTTATTTGGCTCATAAGCTACAACATAAAGAATGGAACTATGATATTAATCTTGTAACATGGTCTGATGGAGTGTTCTATGGCTATGTGCTTGTTGTGCCTCTTTGTTTGTACATTATTCTCAAGTACTTTTCTGCACCTTCTGGCCTTGTTCAACTCTTCTGTCTATACGGATACTCCGTGTTTATCTTCATTCCAGCCATGGTAAGTAACCTTTTCTTTCTCAAATTCTTTCATAAGGGTAAAATCATCTTTTTTACTTTTATAAAATGAACCCATGGACTCCCGTACAGATTAATTGTATTACTTCTAACTAATTGTAAATGACATTTATTAAATCACCTTTAACTAATTGTAAATGATGTTTTTTCATGAAGGGAGATATTTATCAAGTGGAAGCAAGCTACGAGTGGCTTTTGATTGTTCTTGATTGGATTGTTGAATTATTGAACCTCCTGAAACGGGGTTTCTAGGAACCAACAGGTGAGGCTGTGATTCTTCCTTTTTTTATTGTTTGATTTTTTTATTAATAATTATGTTGTCGTGTAATGTTTATTTGGAATAGCAAATAATGAGAATTAAGACCCTCTTCCATAAGAAGTCAAGTGGAGGATATTTTATGTATATAATAAGCATTAACAAACTCAGCCCAATGAGATAATAGTTGTCGGGGCTGCATATGGAAGGAAACCTTGTAAGTTTTCATGCTTTTACCCAAACATTTTCTATAAACTATATATGATGTCAGTCATCTCTTATTTTTGATATTTTGTATCCATTCATTAGCCTAAAGTTTCCATTCATACCTCAAAGTCATCGTTGAATCAGTGGTGATAAAACCCAACCAAGTTCTTGCAAGGGTCTGGTAAGAGTCGACTGTCACATAGTTGTTTTAAACTTATGGAATATTTCCTTTGACAATTTCTTTATTTTGTATATACAGATACACAACTACTAAAAAGGGATGTAATTACTTGGACTAAATATGAGGAAGACTACAACATGCCTACTTGGATTTATCAGTATGGAATGAAATGTATATTTGAATGAATCTTATGTTTTTATTCCATACTGAAAAATTGAATCATTTAACAAGTAGTTGTATCATTTTTAGTTTACAAGTTATCCACTTATACCATTGTCTTAGTGTTTGGTTACTTACATTTTTTCATATTAATTTTAATTAAACAGGATGGTTTTTCTTAGTGTAGAGTGTCAAGATTATTCTTCCATTTGTTCATATTAATTTTAATTTCTCATATAAATGTAAGAATTTAACATTATACTGTCATTAACTTGCTTATAATAGCATCCTACGTACTTTCATCACTTTCAGGGATGGTCCAAGGGCTGGGCTAACTAGGCCGCAACCCAAGGCAGCAATTTATAGGGTATCCGATTTTTTCCAAATCCCAAGTCTTATTATGGGTATAACTTACCAGTTACATGGGTCAAGAACTTGATCCATAAATACGATCCAACCATTAAAGGAATTGGTAAGTGACAAGGTCACCCGACTGGAAATTGAAAAGGGTGAAACGCCAAAAGAAGCGGCAAATGCAATTCAGATTTGTTAAAAAAGGCGCACGCGAAGAAGAGTATTGAGTTTTCTTCAATTTCTGATTCTAGATTTCTTTCTTGTAAATTAAAAAAGCACAATTGTTTTATGATTTTATCTTAGTCTCTTCCAAATCAAACGTAGAATTCTTATACACTACCTCTATCTTTATTCTTTCTTATGAGAGGGCATGTGCGAGGACTAAGGTTTTATTCTTTCACGCCGAAGGGAAAGCTCATTGAATGTTTTAGTGCATGAACCTGTTTTTTTATTAATTGTTTTAAAACGTGATTGTGCGGTAAAAATGGGTGAAAAACTTTGTGGAATTGATGTTATTGAAACGAATTAGAATTTTCTGAGTTTGACAGTAACAGTAAATGATGGAGGACTATTAGACTTTGTGCCTTCATTAACATTGCTAAAAGGTTGTCTTGAAAAATTACTACAAATTTGTAACAAATATAGGGGAATTTTAGTTTTATCTCGCCCTGGGCATAGAAAAACAATGGATCGGCAAAGGTCGGTCTTAAGGATGAAGATGAGAAGTACTTCGGGTGTGGTCTAACCAGTAATGAAGAAATTGTTGGAATGGTGAAAAAGTTAATTTTTTTTACACAAATTGACGTGAATGGTGAAAAGTCGGACAAGTGTGAAAGCGTTTTGAAAATTGGCTTCTATGGAATCCTTAGTGCTTGTGATTGATGTTCGGTGAAACTTTGCCAACTTCTTGGTTGAAAAAATAGACAACCTGTTGATCTCTACTACCTACCCACCTCAAATTTTACAATTGAGGTAAAAAGACAAAACCAAATAGCTAGGAATAACATGGTAACGGGAGTCGTATAAAAAATTCGAAGTGAAATTGTGTATGTGCTTTTTGAAATATTAATGGGGAAATGAGATGGATCACATGTGTATTTAACTCTAGAAGAATTGGAAGCCATAGTACTGACGATTCCTCAAGTATACTAATCATACTATGAATTTATATATGTGGTTAAAAGTTTTTAAAACAGCTGAACAAAAAATAAAAGTTATATTCCATTTTAGTTACTTCCTAAATCTAAATAAAGGTTTTTAGAAAATGTTTATGCTCCATAGGTTTGTTCATTTTAACTATACCTATTTTTTATATTTATCCATTATATTTCACTAACAAACTTGGAAATTGTTCTTGAGCCATAATAGATAATCAATGTGGAACAACCATGATTTCATTTTTTTTTTTGGTTTTATAGGACCTGTAATACTTAGATTTTGTATTCCTTATGCTCTTCACTCTAATAAATTTATTTTCATTTTCTAATTTAAATATGTTTTCATGTTTATACTTTGCAGTCGATCATTATTATCATGTTGTCTTGAGGAGTATTGGGCTGCTTATGATAAAGGGGTAAGCCGATTTACCAATCATATTCTTTAAATATCATTGTACTTTGAAAATAAGTGGATTATTGTGCATTTGTTTTTGGTTTTGTGGATAGTGGATTAATGAAATTTTCGGAGAGAGTTTCGTATGAGTCAATACCATCTGTTCCAAGTATTATCGTCTCTACAAACTAGTTTTTGAAAAATTTATTCGCACTCGTCGCTTGGCGCGGGTAAACGGCTAGTATTTATATATATATATATATATATATATATATATATATATATATATATATATATATATATATATATATATATATATAACCTAACCCGTTCCTAATAATACTTCTAACAATTATGGTCCTCAAAGGAGGTTAGTTGAGTTAATTTTTGGTCTAAGTATTGTTGTGTATATTACTAATTTAGGAATAAATCTATATTGTTGACCAATTTAATTATTCAATCTTATTACATTACATATTTCTACTTTCAAACTAATAATTAAAATGTTTTGTTATTAACTTCATTTTATTTCACAATATATATATATATATATATATATATATATATATATATATATATATATATATAATTTTAGTATTTAACTTATTTATTTTATTTTATTTTAAAATTTGTGCTAAAATGGGCAAAAAGTATGGCTTAAAATGAGGATGTTATAAAGCTGTGGGGAGTGGTCACAACCAACCTACCGAAAAAATGTTGCCACATCTGCGCCACATCAGCTTCACCACCAACCCACCATCAACCCACTAGACATTGGAAATGGTTATCACTCCACATCATTTATATTTTTATATTTTTAATTTTTTTAACATTAGATTAATTAAAAAAACATAATTATAAACTTAAATAATCATTTTACTAATTAAAAATTCAAATAAACATATAATTAATTTTTAAAATTAAATAATCAGATTAAAAGAGGGTTTAATTTAATTCAAATAAAAATGAGAGGGTATAATAAGATTAAAAGAGACAATTTCAAGGATCAATTTTGTAACTTAAATTGAAGCAAATATAAATGTCACCCGTTTTCCTTTTTCTTCGTCTTCTTCACCCGTTTTCTGGAAAACGGGTCATTACCATATTTTTTTTTTAACTTTCATGGATACAGAGGAAAAGGAATACAACAACAGATAGAAAATGGTCAAAATGACCGTTGGCACTTTCCTCTTCTCCCATTCGTCGTCTTCATCCGTCTTTGGAGTCACGCCACACCCAGAACACCAGCCCTAGGGGCGGTGTTCACGCGTCTTCAAGGTCGCCACCTCAGCATCACGCGTGGGTTTGTATACCCACTCCGGGTAGCCTAATGTTTCAATATTTGCAACTCTATACTTGACTTCATCGCTTGATCAGAAATCGTGTGTTGTCCTATCTAAGACAAAAATATTAAGTTGTCCACGAGGAACAAACATTAGTTACTGGTGGAGCAGCGTGAGGATGGACATACCCTGGTGGGCATCTAAGTAGGCAATGAGACAAAAAAAGTCATATTTTGTTGTATATATATATATATATATATATATATATATATATATATATAATATATATATATATATATATATATAATATATATATATATATATATATATATATATATATATATATATATATAGGGTTGGGTTCATTTGAGACCATCTATATTTTGTGAGACATGAAGACGAAATTTTAGCCCTTGATCAAAATTGATATGTGGTTTAGATTTAATAAAAAAAAACAAAAAAAACAAAATACTGGCGGTGGCAGTTTGTGTAAATAACACAAACTTTGTAATTAACTAGAAAACACGGAGGGGTAGAAACGTAACCTGACACATTCACAAACACATTCATATGATTTTCATTTCCCAAAACCCTTTCATCAATCGGAAACCCTTCCATCACAAATTTGTTTCAGATTAACCCTAAATCGATTGCAAAGTCGAGCTCTTTATTCTGATTCTAGCTCGAATTCATCCTCTGATTCATACTCGAAACAAATCCTAACTGATTCACGTAGCCAAAAACGATCAGAAAACCCTCGATCAATCTCGATTATCAACAAATTCTTATTCCTTCAAATTCACAACTTCAACCTTCTTATTCAATCTCGATTATCAACCATTCCTTCACAAAACAGGTATTAATTCAAGCTATTCAAATTTCGGATTGTGTAATTGAACCGATGAATAATTTGGGTTGTACAGATTCTAAGTCGAATAACCCTAGTATATCAAATCAAAACCATAGATCATATCCTCACTGTTAACCATTCTCCCAATTGAAGCAAAGTGAATCAAATAGAGTTAATTTCGGTTTCTTGTTTACAAAAACTGAAGATCAAACCTAGAAGATCGCTAAGGAATCAAAATCATATATACAGGTTCTTTCTTTCCTTAATCTATCATCCTTTAAATTCACATAAACCCTATCCTTCTAAATAGAAGGAATCGACGACCATTCAAAATCATAAACCGTAATTATGTTATTCAGATTGTTTCATTCTAGTTTTAAGAATCGACTTTAGAACTCATACCCATCAAAGGCTTTGATTTCACCTTTCAACAATGTCTTGTTCGAGAGAATCAGATTCCAATTCCCCTTCTCAATATAAAAGATGAATCACCAATGTCATTATATGAAGTAGATAGAGTGATTAAAATAGCATGCACTGAAGTCTAGTCTAAAGAACCAAAGAGAAGTAATTAATTCAAAAAGAAAGGACATAAAGCTATTTTCTAACAAAAACTCAATCTTTAGCTTTCAAAACAATATTCTACTAGTTCTGATTTTATATAGTACAATATCTAATCATTCTGTTTTGTTTTGTATATGAGCTTCTAGTATACTTTTATAGTAATTCTGAGTTTTGTATGCTAGAGTTAGTATTCTATCCATTCTAATTTTGATGATGAATTGCTAAAAAATCGAAATTGTTGATGAGTTTTTCATTGATTCTTGTTGATATTTATTTTATAATAGAAAAATTGATGAATAATTGCTGAAAATCGATCAGGTACGATAATCCTTTGATAATATAGAATTGATGATGAGTTGTTGAAAATAAATGTTGAAATCTAGAAATTCCTTATCAGTGTATGTAATAGAGAAAATGATCATGAATTGTTAAACATTGATGTTTAGTACAATATTCTAGTCATTTTGATTTTGTATAACATATTATTCTAATCATTTTGATTTGTGTAGTAAAAGTTTCTAGTTTTTTGGTTTTGTGTATTAGCTTCTACTATAATATTCTAGTCCTTCTGGTTTTGTATATTAGAGTTAGTATGGTAGTCATTCTCATTTTTATGATGAATTGATGAAATCGATTGATTATGAGTTGTTGATAATCCTTATGTAATAGCAAAATTTATGATAAATAGCTGAAAATCGATCATTGTTTTTAATCCTTTAGTAATAGCAAAAATTTTTGATGATGAATTACTGAAAATCGATGTTCTAATATGAGATTATAAAAAATCGATGTCTAAAATCAGTTATTTATGATAATCCTTCAGTAATAGAGAAATAGATGTTTGTAATAGAGAAAGTGAAGATGAATATTGTACTAAACATTGATGTTTAGTACAATATTCTAGTCATTCTGATTTTGTATAGTATATTATTCTTTTAATTTTGATTTGTGTAGTAAAATATGTAATTTTATTTTGTATATTAACTTCTAGTATAATATTCTAGCCATTCTGTTTTGTATATTAACTTCTAG